ATATTCTCAAAGCTTTATTCTCTCAAATCCACTTTCATTTCTACTAATAAATTGACTGCATTCGATCCGCTTTAGATTAATCTCTCATCAATAGCTGTCAATTAGACCAGAAATTTCAAAAATTCAATTATGTGTTAATCATAAGATATTTATTTTATTAAACCCTTTCTAATTTAATCATAGTTGTCAGTTGAATAATTCTTCTTATTAAAGTCTATTTCGCTAACATTTTAAATCATAGATGTGATAAATTAGAACTGAGTATAATTTTTAAAGCACTCTAAACAATTAGTAATTTTCTTATTTCTCAGCATCTAAAGTAGCTCATTAAGGTAGGATCCATTAAAATACTTAGTCTAAGTCAACACCTAATACATATCTTCCTTTCTGTTATAAACTTACTTTATTTCTTTTAATAATTCAATGTTCTCTTATGAATTACTTACCTTCTTTTTTATGAATTACAGAACATCCATCAATTCTGTATTAAACTTTTGGTATAAAGCTTGAGTTTCTTTCCAATATTTCTTTGTCAAATCCAATTGCTCCAAATATGATTTTTTCTAATTATCTGTAGCATCTAATGTTTTTCCAATAATAATTTAGACTAATTTTTCTAAGTCAGTATTTGACAATTCTGTTGGATTCACATTGCCATTACTGAAATTCAAATAGAATTTATCTTCTATCTCAATCACCTCATATATCTGTTTTATTGATTCTGCTAACTCATCCCAAATTTATTTTATCTTATTTTAAGTTGAGGAAATCATTTCTTTAAAATTCTTTCTTTGAGTTGTAAATTCAGATGAATCTTTAACCTTTAATTCTTTTATTTTCGACACAACCATTTCCTGAAACATCTCTATTGGAGCTGTTTGTTTCTTTTCAACCTCATGTTCAAAAAAGCATATAACACATAGCCTCCTTTGATAATAGCACTTGTGAGGAGCTAAACATATCATTGACACTTAATTGCCATGATGATGAGTGCAATTCATAATCTTGTTAAAAATATATATTGAATTTCTATTACTTTATTTTGAGTGTTATACTCAAAATGTATCTTGCATATTATTCTGTGGAAGAAATATCAATATCACAAAGATTCAGGGTATATGTAAATTATATTAGGGAAAACTTACATAGACTTATGCATAATTGGATATAGAATAAAAATAACACAAATAATTCAAAACACTAATATATTATTTTAATTATTGAGAATTTTTCAGTTAATGTATTCTATTTATTCTAAATCATAATTGTTCAAAAATATCAATACAAAGAAGTTACTTCTATATAACCAACCTAATAAAAAATCTAGAAACCCCCAACCCCAACATTTTATTCAGTTCCTACCCCGTACAAATTAAGAAGTAGTATCACCGTACGGATTTGAAGGTTGAATGTATGGATGACAATTTTGGGGTTTGGGTTTGGGTTTGGGTTTGGGTTTGGGGTTGGGT